GGCGAGGCCCCCGTGCAAAGCTCAAGGCGGCAGGCAGAGGCGGGTAGGCGGGTGGGCGGGTGCGGGCAGGCAGGCTGCCCAGCCACCTACAGCTGCCACCTCCCTGAAACCCGAACCGCTTCTGGGAAAACTCAAGGACGCCAGGATTCTCCTCGCTGGCTGGCGGAGGGACTCCTGAGCAGCTCTTTCCAATCAAATTCTCAAGATCGAGCAGGCTGAGCAAGCAGGGATCTCCCAGGCTTTGAGGAGACTCCAACCTGCCACCCTGAATCTGGGAAGGGGGGGTGCTATGGGCATTAGTGATAACCCCACCTCCCACAACTATCTCTTTGAAGCATGGGAACACTCTAGATTGGAGTTCTCAACCTGAGGTGATTTGCAAGCCCTCTACCCAGGACATTTTTGTTGTCACAATGAGAAGTACCACTGGTATTGAGAGAACAGAGGCCAGGAATGCTGCTGAACATCTTACATGGCACAAGACAGGTCTCCCCGCCACCACCTCCAAACACATACACAACAGAGAATCATGGGGTCCAGATTGTCCATAGTGTCAAGACTGAGAAACCCTGTCCTAGAATGAGGTCTGCCCAGCCAGGACCCTGCCTGAGAACTGTCTATCCAGTGTCATTCTCAAAAGTATTCCCATGCCAGCTCCTCCTCACAGCCCCCAAATCTCCATCCACAGTAACAGGCCAGTATCTACAAGGGAATCTTAACTCTTCACTTGATGTCCCTTGGTCTCCAACTACAATACCCTGAGCTCCCAGGAAGGGGCTGAATGTATAGGCCCTCCAGGGAGGGCTGCCTCTAGGAGAAAAAGGAGGGGAGCAGGGCTGGAATGTAAACACTACACAGGGATCACAAAAGGCAGAAATAAAGAAGTCCCATCCTGCGGTTAGAAGCAATGTGGGAAGAAATCCAGTGCACCCCCCACCAAGGGCAACAAGTTGCCCCTCAGGCCTGGTACAGTGGCTACGTGTAGGGCAGCCAGGACTTCACAGAGTCCAACGCAGGGGGCTACAGGCTTACTGGTATCAGTGCTAAAGGGAAAGTGTGCATGCACAATACCTGTCCTGGCTCTCACGTGCATGTGCTCTCTCTCTATTTGTATTCACCTGGGGGAAGAGTCCACAGCTTTCATCAGATTCTCAAGGGGCTCACGATACAAAGGTCCACAGTACAGAATGGGCACCCTTCACTGGGCTCCCTGAAAATTCCTTAGCTCAAGTGCCAGAAGAGGTCCAGGTGCTATTTGAGGATTCTCCATGCCCAGAAAAACCCTGCAGAGTAGTACACCAGAGGCCCACCCAAGCTGTGGGAGGCTGTGGGGTCCCAGGACTTGTTTATTCACATAGCCACAGAGCCTGGAAGACTGGGTGAGTTTCTCACCTCGTATCATTTAGCTCAGAAGAGCCTCTAAGAGATAAGAGTGACCACTCCTCCGGAAGGGCAGCCCAGCCAGCCAGCAAGGAGTACCCAGCAGGTACAAGGATTGGGAGCAAAGGATGCCTTTCCCTGGGGGATGGCACCAGTGGCCTGTGGCTCTGAGGTCTGCATCCCTGACAGCCACCACTACAACAAGCCTGAGGGTCACCTCACTCATCATACACACACACTTCTCTCCTGAGAACTACACAACACCTGTGGGTCAGAGAGTATCCAGCCCTTGAGGACAACTTGGGGCAAAGCTGGTGGTTCCTGATGGGACAGACAAGAATCAGGTCCTCCTCCACCAGTGGCTCCTGACACTCCACTCAGAAAGCATACACCCCACCCCCACAGGCCCTAATCTGAACCCCATATACAGAGACAGATGTCAGAAGTTCTAAAGAGACCCACAGAAGTGTGTCTAGGATGTCCGTTGCAAGGCAAGAACCAAATAACTTATTTCACAAGGATACTGAGCCAGGCACAGACCACAAAAAACTTGAAGAACTGAACAGTGGTCCTGTAATAAACACCATGTGCCATTATTACAGCATAAATTCCCCCTTTTCTTCTAGACTTGAACCATACAATATAATAACCACTAGCCAAATGTGATTACTGAGCACCTGAAATGGGAAAGTCTGAGTTGACATATTCTCTAAGTTTAAAATACACACTGGAAGGGCACCTGGATGCCTCAGCCATTAAGCATCTGCCTTCGGCTCAGGTCATGATCCCAGGGTCCTGGGATCGAGCCCTGCATCAGGCTCCCTACTCAGAAAGAAGCCTGCTTCTCCATCTCCACTCCCTCTCTATGTCCCTCTGTCAAATAGATAAAATCTTTAAAAATAATAATAATAAAATAAAATACAATTGGATTTTGATGATAGTACAAAAAATGTAAAATGTCTCATTAACCGTTTTAATACTATTACATGATGAAAATGATTACTTGGTATATATTAAGGTAAATAAACATACCATTAAAGTTAATTTCACCTTGTTACAGACTGAATGTTTATTTTTTCTTGTTTTATTTAAATTCAATTAACATGTAGCGTATTACTAGTTTCAGAGTTATAGACTGAATGTTTCTATGTGTCCCCTCAAAATCAGTACGTTGAAACCCTAACCTCCAATACGATGGTATTTGGAGCTGGAGCCTTTGGGAGGTAATCAGGGTCAGACTGGTTCATGAGAGCAGGGCCCTCAATTTGGGGTTAGTAGAAGAAGAAGAATCATCTTTCTCTACCTAGCCCTCCAAACACAGAGGAAAGGGCGTGTGAGGATGCAGTGAGAAGACAGCCATCTGCCAGCCAGAAAGAGGGCCCTGACCACAACCCTACCATACTGGCACACTGATCTCGGACTTCCAGACACTAGAGCTGTGAGAAACAAATTCTGTTATTGAAGTCACACAGCCTATAGTCTTTATTTATAGCAGCCCAAACAGACTAAGACACCTGTTTCTTTTTCCTTTCAGTAACACTACTACAAAATTTTATGTTATATACATGGTTGATGCTGCACTTCTGTTGGACAGTGCTGTCCTTGATCCTCCTCCTGTGTGTGCTGCAGGTGATGGGGTACTTCTAAACAGCAAGTCAAGACTTTGAAGGAAGGCGATCCATTAAATCGAAGGAACACGAGGGCCAGCTCTCCCCCTCCGTGGGCCTGGGGCAGCTGTTCCCAGAGCTCCTCACAGGTGAGGGCAGTGGCCACCAGAGAACTGGCTGTTGTGGTCACAAGAAACACCCAGGCACCCCACCTTCCTCTCTGGACAGGAACATAGGTACTTGGATTCCAGTCTAACTCCAGGTGCTTCACTTCGCAGAACACACTGCTCAGCACTGCCCAAGCCACGTGGGGGGAGTAGTGGGAAAGAGGGAAATAAAGTCCTTCCAGGGGCCCAATCCTCCCCCGCCCCGCCCCTGCCCCATCCATCCTCTTCAGGGAGGGAGATGGAACTGGTGAGATGAGATGGAGACAAATTAGGATGAGGGTTCCAGATCTGAGGCTGCCCTGTCATAGAAGGAGGTCCCCTCTGCAGGCTGGGGCTTGGAAGAGCCCAGGACCTCAAGAGGGATCTAGACAGCCCAAGGGGGCTACTGCGTGTCTATTAAGTCAGTTTGCGCGGCCCTATCCTCTGAAAAGCAATGCCTTCCTTTCCCTTCAGAAGCATCTCAAAGCAGCACTTAAAAGAGAGAGCAATGAGTTCAACAACACCACTTTGTTTCTACTACACGGGAAACAGCTCCAAAAAAGCCGTGACGCTCCCTCCCACACTGTGCCCAAGTACCAAGAAGGGGGTCTTCATCCCCTCCTCCCCGTGCTCAGGCTACGCAGCTCCAAACTCCACGCAGACAACTCACTTGTTTTGGCTGTAGACAGCTAAGCCACGCTACATTAAAAGGAGGCCTAGAGTGGGGGTGGGATGGGATGGAGATTCCCCCACAGCCACCCTGCAGGAGCGCGGGGATCCCTGCCCCGCCCCTGCACGCCAGGCCCCGCCCTTCACGGGTTTCCCAGACTCCGCGCTGCTGCCACCGCGGGCGGCAGGGGACCCGCGCTGCATGTGTAATGGGGGCTGGGAACAAAGACGCGCAGGACCCAGTGCCCTGGCTTCCGCGCACCAACCGCCCCGACCTCCCTGGTCTTCTCCCTAGAGCCTCAAAGAGCGGCTCCCCACACTTCCCGGGTCTACCTGGAGCCATCCGAACCCGAGTGCGGAGCCCAATGCTGCGCGCAACCCGAGTTGGGCGCGCCCCAAAACCGCTAGAAGAGGAAAATCACTGCTTCGGTCTTGGGGAAAAGCTTTCCCAGCGGGAACTCCGCGTGTATACACCCGCACCCACACACGCTCAACCACAGGCACGCGAGCTTAACACTAGCCCTGCCGGTCACCCATCTCCGCCACGTGCTTCCCAGAGGCACAAACGGACCTGTTAATTTTCCTTCGCACCCCACCTCCCTTCTCAGGAGCCCTGAACAAAGCAGTCCTTTGGGGTGACCGCATCTCGCGTCCTGGGGCCGCCGCAGAGAAAGCGGGCGTAAGTGGGAGCTGGCGCCAACCGCCCGCTTTGAGGGGAACACAAGGCAGATGCCGGTGGGACGGGGTGCAGGGGACTCCTCCTAGCTGTGTGAAGCAGCCCCCTTCGCTTCGCAACACCTAGTGGCTCTGAGGGTCACGCAGTCCTATCCCCAGCCCCTCCTGCACCTATGATCTCGCCACCCGGCATTAGATCTGGCCACCTTCTCCACGCTTTGGTTTTCCTCAGAATCTCCCTGGGTTCCACGCGCCCAAGTAGCCTGAACCCCGAACCTGAGGTTCTGGATCCCAGCCCGGAACATGCGGTCGCCAGACCGCCGAACGAACAAGATCGTCCCCCCAAGATCGGCAAGCACGGTGCCCAGCGCGCCCCCAGTCCCCGCCCCGGGAAGGGCAAGCTGGGTGCAGGTGGCGCGGCGAGGAGGCCACGGGCCCGCCCTTTGTTGGTAAACACCGCGCGGCGCCCGAGACCGGCCCCGCGCGCCCTTCCCGCGCCCCCCACGCCGCGCCCGGTCCTCACCCGCGCACAGCGATCCCCAGAGGAGGGCGAGGGCCGCCCAGGGCGCCGTCATGTTCCGCGGCGCCGCCCCGCGGACACCCGGAGCCCGCGGGAAGGGCCGCGCGGCGCTCTCGGGGCGCGCAGGGCCCAGCGGCGGCTGCGCTCTTCTTCCCGCTTCTTCCTTAGGTCTCGTTCCCCGCGCGATTCCTGCGCCTTCGTCCCCGGACAGCGTGCAGGCTCCAAGGGCCGGGCGGCGGGGCCGGGCTCAGGGCCGCTGCGGGCGGCGCAGGCTGCGGCCCGGGCTCCGGGGCGACGCGGGGACCGGGGGGCGGCGGCGGGGCGCGGGCCGGGGCGCGCCCGACTCAGGCATAGCGCGGCGGGGCTGGGCCCGGGCCCCGGGCGCAGGGGCCGAGTCCGGAGGGGCCATGAACGGGGGGGAGGGGTGGGGGGAGGGGAGCTGAACCGAGTCCAAAATGGCTCCTGAGCCGCGGCAGCGGAGCCGAGCCAGCGGGGAAACCCGGATGTTGGATACAAAGAGGCGGGCGAGCTGGGCGGGGAGGGGGAGGGGAGGCGGGCCCTCCGGCCGCGTGGTCCGCGCCCCCCTGAGGGGCGGTGCCCCGGAGAAACAACAACAAGGAGGCCCCGCCCCCAGCCCGCGCCCTCCGCCCTCCGGGAGGTCGCGTACCACCGCGGGACTAGAGGGCGAGACCTTGCGCGCTGGCAGAGGTGGCGGCGGTGGTCGCTGGGACGCGGTGGGCGCCGCACCTGTGATTCTTGCTCCGTGCTAGAGCCCACCCTCCTGAACGCACTGCCCTGCGATGCGGCGGGAGTGGGTGGACAGTCCCCGGACTCGCCAGGATTCACCTCCGCGTCTCCACTTCCCCACCTTTGAAATGGGGGTCAGTGTCAACCGTGGGAAGGTCGTGTCTTTCGTGCCGAAGTAATCGGCAGAAAAGCCTATCTTTTCTGAAATGACAGGTCCTCCACGTCTGCAACCCTAATACACACACACACTCTCTCTCTCTCTCTCTCTCTCTTTCTCTCAAAGGCATCTGGGCATCCTGGAGTTGGACCCACCTGTGTGAGAGAGGGCGCTGAGCCCCTCCCTGCACAGCAGCCGCAGGTGGAAAAGGACCAATGGCAACTGGTTTCCCCAAACTTACCCTTGTCCTCAGCACTCCCACCGGCCCCACCCCCCACCCCTGCTTCAGTCTGTACCTTCAAAACTGTTCTCAATTGCCTCCAGTCCACCCTGTTGAAGATCTTGTCTGGCAAATGGTTCTGCTGTCCTTTTCCCCTGCCACGTTCCTCCTCGGGGCCCCTTTTTCTTCATCTCAGATTCCACTCTCCTTATCACACAACCAGAGCTTGGGAAGGTCACGATGGGGCTCCCAGCCAAAGAGGGAAAACCCATCACAACTCAGGGATGATGTGCAGGATCCTTGGATACAGAAACTGTCCCTTGGCTTCTCATGACTTGCCACAGCCTTTCTTGGAGCAAGGTAAGAGCAGGGTAAAGGCAGCCAGGAAGGAGGCGGTGCCTGGAAATCTTTAAGCCTGTTTCCTTAGGCAGAAAGTGAAGAGGTTAGATTACTCTGCTTTGCATTTTTCAAAAAGCAGAAACCTTATTGAAACAAGATATTATGTAAAAGTCCCATACAGAACGAAATTGCCTTGATTGATGTTGAAATGAGGGCCCACCACTCCCCAGTTTCAAAAAGCATCAGGAACTGCTGGATAGTGGCCCCAAAGTGTGGGATCTTTGGAGTCACCACCCAGGAAGATTTGAGTCTCTAAAGGTCCCTTCCAGTTCTGGAAAAATCCTGTGGAAAAGGACAGCACCTCCTTGCCACAATCCCTGTGTAGGCCTTTTAACACAGGATTGAGTGCTGCTGTGTGCTGAGCAAGAAGCAGTGTAGTATGGGATCCCCTGGTGGTGTATCTGGTGTTTCGGTAATCCTACAGTATGGATGGATACATGATGGCAGGGGGAGCAACTCGACATTCAGAATGAGTGGCTTTTCTAGAAAAGAAAAATCGTTGCCTTCTCCCTGCTGGAAGATAGCAACTATAAAATCCACTGTGGCAACAATTAGGTTGGCTGGTTCCTCTCTTCTATTCCACATCAGGATAGGTATCATAATGACTCAAGGCAGTCCAAGTTGCCCAACACACCTGTGTCTTCCACCTTGATGTCTTGATGTCTCTGGAAACTCCAAATTTGTATATCTAACTGCCTACTTGACATCTCTATTTGACAGCCTATCAGCCGTCTCCAACCTGACCCAGCCAAAGCAGAGTTCCCCATTTTCACCGCAAATCTGCTTCTCCAGTTGTCCTTCTCTGAATCAATGGCATAACCAAACAACCAGTCGCTCAAATCAAAACTTTATGAGCCACCTTGATTTCTCCTATATTCAGTCCATCAGCAAGTTGGCTTCAAAAACATATCAACCATCAAGCCACGTTCTCCATATATACCATAGCCAACCAAACTCTCACATCTGGACCACTGCAACAGCAGTGAACTGGAAGGGATTGTAACTAGTCACCTGCTTTCATTCTTGCCTGTTATATAATACAACTTCTATACAGAGCCTGAAATTATCTTTTAAACCTGGAACTAGTATCACATTACTCCCTTCCTTAAAAGCCTCCCATGGTTTCCTGTTACAATGCCTAATAAAGCTTTACATAATCAACCCTTCTTCCTCTCCAACTTCCTCTCCACCTCCCCATTATCCCCGGACACACTGGTGTGCTTTCTGCTCCTCAAACACATTAAGGTTGTTTCTACCTCAGAGCCCCTGCGATCCCCACCGCCACTGCTACCTGACTCTCTTGGAGAGCTGAAATCTATGTTGCTGAGCTCATGAGATTAGCCTGTAACCATTTTGTTCCTGAACCAATACTAGGCTGATAGGGAAAGATGATGTGGATATCTGAAAATCAAGTTTGGTTTGGGTTTTCTGTTCTTCTGAGCTACAAGAACATTAAATACCTCATTTGGTATCAGAAATGAGGTAACTGGAAGCTGAAAGGCAAAAAAACAACAAATGTGTACTATAAGACTTATGGCAGGGAGTTCTGTCGTTCGGGAATTCTGTGTTTAGGACCATTCTTCCCCTACTCCCCGCCCTGCTCAATGGTCAAAGTCAGAGTCCAAGGAATTGGGAAGAAACAACTGAGCATGGCTTCTCTCAGTATCAAGCTAATGGAAGAAGATGGAAAATTATAGCATTAAAATATGACTTGGTATCTGAATTGTTATAAGGCATTATATTGTGAAGGTTAAATGCATTTATTTGTCAAGATAAACTCTTAAAATAACCACAACTTTTGTAATTTTACTCTGAGAACTCTTCATTACAAAAAAAAAAAAAAAGTGAAGGGGTGCCTGGGTGGCTCAGTGGGTTAAAGCCTCTGCCTTCGGTTCAGGTCATGGTCTCAGGGTCCTGGAATTGAGCCCTGCATCAGGTTTTCTGCTCAGCCCGGAGCCTGCTTCCTCCTCTCTCTCTGCCTGCCTCTCTGCCTACTTGTGATCCCTCTCTGTGTCAAATAAATAAATAAAATCTAAAAAAAAAAAAAAGGTGAAGTGGCCCCAGCCTCTCTCAGTTCATTGTTTAAAGATATGCTATGGTGGGTTATTATTATGAGAGATATAAGGTAGCATATATTAGAATAGAGGGTAATTTAGTTACAACAGTACCACATTAAATGATTTCAGAGGGTACTATTCACCCTATATAATGGGGGTGGATGCATAGTTCTTTGGCAATAAAATTCCCCCCAAACTTAGTAAGCTATCCATTTATTTCCAATCTATTCCATGTGCCATCAATGTTAAAAGCTTTTTCCTAGACAATTCTCAAACTGGTTTATTTCTTTTCTTCCTATCTTCATATTTCTCCTCACACTCTCTCTTAACTTACAGTGACCACATTCAGGTCAACTAAATTTAATTGGGTTGGGTAGAAAGGTCTCTCAAATAGATTAGATTACACTGTGGTAATGGGAAATCCTCAAATCTCAATGGCTTAAAACAACCAAATTTATTTTTCATTCATGCTACCTGTCCATTGTGAGTCACCAAGCAAGTTACATTCATTGTAACTCAGTGACACAAGCTAATGGAGGTTACATTTTGATACATGCTTCTACTATTGCAGTGAGAGAGGGAAAGTAAATTATATTCAGGCTCTTAAAACTTCTATCAGATTCCAGGAAAGCGGTAGCTAGGTTGGTGGCTGCATAGTTTTTGAATTCTTCCATAGTTCTCACAGAGCAACTGCATGGAAACAAAAACAAAAAACAGAAAACCCATGTACATTTACAAGAAAACTAGGTGACGAGGTTTCCCCCCAAAACACCAAAAATACAAGCAAATGGAGATAAACTATGAACTACCAACAGCAATGCAATCTGCATGGACTAGTATCTGTGCAAGGGGAACCTGACGAACGCAGCAGCGTAGATAAGGTTCCTGAGAACAACAGAATCCCCAGACGGCTAAGAGAGATTCATCGGAAAGCATGGTTCAATAACAGTAGGTGAAACTGGGATGGGCTTCCCCAGTCCAACCACAAGTGAATAAAAGGAGACTCTGGTAAGAATAGAAAGAGCTAGAACAGTTTGTCCCTGTGAACTTTTAAAACTAATTAGCCAGGGACACCTAGGGTGACTCGGTTGGTTAAGTGTCTGCCTTTTGGCTTGGGTCATGATTCCAGGGTCCAGATCGAATCCCGCACCTGGCTCCTTGTTCAGTGAGAAGACTGCTTCTCCCTCTGCCTGCTGCTCCCTGTGTTTGTGCTCTCTCTCTCTCTCTTTCTCTGACAAACAAATGAAATCTTTAAAAAAAAAAAAAAAAACTGATTAGCCAGGCTTCTGTTTTAGATCAGATTCCTACATTAAGGAGAAACTTCTAGAAATTGAATCAAAATTGAGCTGGATAAGATTTTTCTTCCAGCCATCACACAGTAACTGGAATGGCTTCTGCCCTTCTACCATAACAAGAAAAATGGACAAGATACAGGAGGGAACTATTTTTGGACATTATATAAGCTGTAAGCCCTG